TACCCTCCTGCTCTATGCTTAGCTCCAGCCAAATATATTAGTCTCTTTATTTGACATTTGAGCACCATAATGCACAGTGGTTTTATGTATGGAAAGGACAATCCTTAATATAACCAGCAACATCACTGCAACTCTGCCTTGCAGCAGTGTGGATGAGTGAATGTTACTGCATTTCAAGGGCCAGATCATGCAGTCCTCACTCAGGCCAAATTCCCATTTACTTCAATTAGTAAAGACTGCAGGAGTAGTTTTAGTGTTGCTGCCCTATCCCTAGGCTTCTTCTCCTAATATATTACAGTAAAAAAGATAGAGGGCAAAGTTCACGCATAGTGTACTTCTATTAAATCAATGGAGTTTCACCAAGGGTTAAGTTATCCCATTTAGTTGTGTTTCTTTCTAAGGTATCACTCTGAATACACACTTTAACTTCACTTTTTGTACATTGTGAAATAAATCAGTTTCCCTTTACCTTCTAGATGGATGGTGTTGCGCTCTGCACCTGCTGGACAAATTAATCCGCTTGAAGTCTTCACGTTTGCACTGCTTAAGGAGCGCTTAGGTGCCTCTCCACCGACTTGGGCTAAGATCACCTTCTACCATGTGAGGGGGATACATTTCTTGGAAAACTTCATGAGGTCCCAAAGTACGATCCTTTCAGAAGCTGCACCTCAAATGTGCAGCTATCCCAGGCTCTCCATGGATCTTGGGGGATCTGCACAGCACAGACATCCCCTCCATACTATTCTTTGGAGCCCCCGGTGCTATTTGTTCCCTTGCCACATGTGTACCTTGCCCATCCACACATGTGAAGGGGAAGGTAGAAGGTGCATAGATTGGAATTTGGTCATTAAAGCTGTAGTGAACCATATTCAGTTCAGTAGCTTTAGAGAAAGAGGATGACACACAGAGCCACCATCAACCCATTCATGTCCCCCAAAACTCACAGAGCCCCAACAGTCCACAGTTTGCACCATGGAACTTCCATGAGATCAAAGGAAGAAAGAATGAGGTGATGCCACTTGGGCTTTAGTCTCAGTTTTACATATATCTGTTTCCTAACGGTGCAAAAGAAATTGGGGTGGGGGGACCAAGTCTTGCAGTCATGTTGAATGGGGGATATCAACAGGACAGGTTAGGGTGAGCAAATTATACTTTAAATTAGTGAGTCCTATAGGACTCAGCATCACCTAGCAGAGCTAACACCTGTTAACAGGTATGGTCCTCAGAAGCCCACTGCTATCCTGTTACACTGCCCTTGCCATGTTTCATGTTCATTAAAAGATGCTCACATGAGGTTTTTGGAGAAACAAACACACAAAAGGTAGTCTTATAACTACTTGTAAAGATATTTAACAGGGAGGAATCATTATGAAGTATGATCTGATTTTATTTTTAATATTTTTTTATTGGGGACATTGTTACTGATGTTACCTTTTACTGATCTTTGAAAGGGAGGTAAGAAAATGAAGTGCAATCTTTTCAGAGACTTTGAAGTGTTTCTGATGCGTGAAGGTGAGTGTGTATATCTAGTGTGTTGAGAGTACCTGTCATTCATATATATATATGAATGACAGGTACACTCAAGACACCATATATATAAAATACTATATATATATAGTACTTGTGGTCTGCGCCATGTGTCAGATTGCTATATGTTGGCATGCTGTGTTGGTGTGAGGTGTATTGTATTGGCGAATCGGTCAGTGTGTTGTGTGTGTGCCAGTTTGGGATGTGTTTACACATGTGGTTGGTGTGTTGTTTGGTGTCATTGGCGTGTGTCAGTATGAGTTGTGTATATCAATTGTTTGTATCATTCAGTATGATGTATGCACATTACATTGGGAGCATATGTTGTGGTGTGTTTGGGGTCTATGTTGAAATACAGGTGCATTGGCCTGTATCACATATGTGCATGTATGTGTCAATTGATATTGAATGGTGGAGTTTGTATCAGTTAGGTCTGTGTCATGGATTGGTCAGTGTATGTGTGTGTGTGTGTGTGTGTGTGTACTGGTGTGGGGTGCCGGTGTTTTGTGCTTTTTTTGGGTGTGCTGATAAGTGTCAAGTGTATATTGTGTGTTAGGTATTTGTCTTGGCTGGTGTCATGTGTGCATAAAAAAATTGAGGCAAGTAAAAAAGAACTGAATACAAGACAAAAAGTAAATTGTAAAGTTGATACATTCTATATCTCCCTAACACCTAGTTTGTCCTCTATCTGAACACTGTATATTTACATTGAAAACTTTTTGGGGGTCAGCTACACTTCTGCAAACAATGTGGCACATTTCAGCATAGATCGGGGTCTCAAACACGCGGCCCGCGGGGTTGTTTTCTGCGGCCCCCCCGCCCCTCCAGGGTTTACCTAGAGCGGATCCAGCCTGACATGCACCGGGGCAGGGCAGGGTCCCTGCTTGCCCTGCCCCCGCACCGCTCCGGGAAGCGGCCGGAACGTGGGGAAGGGGGGCACAGGGGTCTGTATGTTGCTCTTGCTTCAGGCAGCACCCCCAGCAGCTCCCATTGGCTACGGTTCCCCATTCCTGGCCAATGGGAGCTACTGGGGGTGGTGCCTGAAGCAACAGCAACACACAGACCCCTGTGCCCCTCTTCCCCCAAGTTCCAGCCACTTCCTAGAGCGGCATGGGGACAGGCAGGCAGGGAGCCTGCCCTGCCCTCGGTGCGTGTCGGGCTGGAGCCTGCCCCCTGAACCACTCCTGCAGCCGAACCCCCTGCCCTGACACCCCACCACACCCCTCCTGCACCCCCTGGGAACAGGAATCGGGCAGAGCTGGGGTTGGGATTTCGGGGAAGGGGTTGGAATGAGGGCGGGGCCTCATGGAAGGGGTGGAGTGGGGGTGGGGCCGAGGGCAGCGAGGGGGAGGTGTCAGTAATGCGGCCCTCAAGCCAATGTACTAGTCCTCATGTGGCCTTCGTGGTCATTTGAATTTGAGACCCCTGGCATAGATGTAATGGCTAGAGGAAATAAGGGAGACATATCCATTGCAACTTTTTATTCTCATGTTGACTTCCCCCTCAATGTGGCTGCAGGACTGAGGTATTTTCACTGCAGGTCCCACACAACCTTTCTTATGTGATTGCACCTCTGCACTTTGGGTGCTTCAGAATTAATAAATAATAATGTATTAGTGATGGTGCACATATTGTCTATATTGGTGTTGAGTATGTGTGTACAATGTGTGGTGTCAACTCGTGTGAGGAGCAGTTTTATGTATACATGTATGAGTCAGTATATATATACATGTTATATTGGTTGGTGCTGAGTACTTGTAGGGTGTGTACATTGTGTGTGGTTGTGTGTTGTTCGGCATGTAAATTCACACTGTCAATATTGTGTGTCATTCAGGGTATGTCTATACTGCAATCACAAGTTGTAATTGTAGGTTGTGTAGACATACTAGAGCCAGCTTTAACTAGCTAGCTTGGATACCAGAGCAATGAACATGTGGCAGTGCAGGTTAGCCACCTGCATAATTACCCAGGGTTCTGTGCAAGATTGTCCAGACCGCGCTGAAGCCTGTGCGTCCGCAACGTCAGTGCTCTGATACCTGAGCTAGCTAGATTAAAGCTAGCTCACGTATGTCTACACAAGCTGCAATCATGCCCCGTGATTGCATTGTAGACATACCCCCAGCATCAGCTGGAGTTGGTGTGCGTCAGTCAATGTCATGTATTATATATTACTTGAAGTTGGAGAATTATTATGTGGTGTGGGTATCACTGTTAACAGTTAGAGGTTGGTTGGTGAGGGTCATTGATACTGTGCATGAGGTAGTTGGTGTGTGTTAGTTGGTGACACGTTGCACATGTATGTCCATTTCTAGGTCAGTCATTGTTATGTGTGTACATGTGAACCAAAGGTGTATGTGTGTGTGCGTTAGTGTTGGGATGGGAATCGAGGCTCTGTAAGGGGTGTTGAGTGGATTAGTGGGGACCTAGTTAATATTGGGATAATGGCTGGGGAGAATCAAGCTGGTGATGGGCTGGGGGCAGGGAGACACTTTTCCATCACACCTCCCTCTTTGCTCCACTGGTCCCCTTTCTCTCACCTGTGTTGCCTTCCACCCAAGCTGGGGATCCTGTCAGGATGGGAGCAGCCCCCCCCCAACGTGCTGGGTGGGGCGGCAGAACAGTGGAGAGCCCCTCCACCGGGCTGGGAGCCTGACAGAACAGGGGGCAGCTCCCTGCACTGTGCTGGGGGGAGCCTGTCAGGACGCAGGGGGCTGTCAACACAGGGGCTGTCAAGACAAGGGGCAGTCTCCCCTCCCCCATGCTGAGGGCCTGACAGAACAGGGGGCAGCCCACCCCTGCCATGCTGGGAGCACAGGGGCCGGTCAGGACAGGGGTCAGCATCCCTGCCCCACTCCACGCGGGGGGCTGAGTCCTATCAGAACGGGGGCATTCCTAGGGTGACCAGATGTCCCAATTTTATAGGGACAGCCCTGATATTTGGGGCTTTGTCTTATGTAGGCGCCTATTACCCCCCACCCCTGTCCTGATTTTTCACACTTGCTGTCTAGTCACCTCAGGCATTCCCCACACCGTGCTGTGGGGCTGTCAGGACAAGCCCCCATGTGTCGGGCCCCGGGTCCTATCAGGACATTAGGACAGGACAGTCTTCCACCCGCCCCGACCGTAATGAGGTTCACGCAAGGGCAGGGAGCTGCCTGGGGGTCACGCCGGGCCAGGCCGCCAGCCCACTGGAGATTGCTCCCGCCTCCCAGAGCAGTGGCCAAACGACGTTTCTCCACCCCGGCCTCTCTCCTACGCCCGCCCGCATACTTGTACCAAAGGCCTGGGATACGGCGCTCCGCAGAGTCGCGGTGCGGGCGGGCCCCTTTGCTTCTGGCGTTTCGGATCCGGGTTGGTGCGGGCGGGGCTGCTCCCTCCTCCCCGCTCCCTGCTCCCGGCCAATGAGCGGCGTCCACATGCTGCGGCCGCGAGAGGGGCCGCGGCGAGCTGGCTCCGATAAATTCTATTAGAGCAGCCGCCGCTGGCTCAGCTCGCGCTGGGGAGGGAACGGAGCAGGAGGAAAGCAGAGCACCGGCTAGCCGGAGACAGCGGCCTAGGCTACCCCGCCCGCTGGAGAGCGCCGGGAGCGGATCCCACCCCGCCGGGCTAGTCACACTCTCCCCTAGAGGGACGAGGGGGCAGTTAACGACCCCCAGGGCAGCTACGCCCCCTAGAGGAGACAGGGCATTTCACACCCCTCAGAGGAGAGCGGGGGTGATAAATTACCTCATTACCCCTCTGAGCGGCGAAAGAGACAATTCCTCTCCGTCTGAGGAGAAAAGGGGACCGCTCAGTTCCTTCCACGCGCGCCCCACAGTGCCGGCGGGGGCGGTCGTGACCCTAGCACCCCCCGCAGCACCTCTCGGAGACGGGTGGGAGCAGGCATTGGCCTGACGCCTGAGAGAAGGGGGGTGACTTTGTCTCGTGGCCCCCGAACGGCTGCCGGAGAAGGGGGTGCAGCGGAGCCCCTTGTCTAGCTCCGCGAGAGGAAGGGGGCGGTTGTGTTCCCGCGGGGTGGGGGCGAGTCCCCCGCCGGTACGGAGCCCAGGGGGGTGCAGGTGCTGTGACCGGAGAGGAGCGCTCCTCGGATCCCTATTGTTGTCTCGGTCTATGCTGGTAATCACCCGGGGGCGGCTGGGGACCCGTAGGGGGAGAGAGAGAGGCACCGAGCGGGCTGAGTGGAGGGTTTGCTGCTGCTGCTGAGAAGAAGGAAGCGGAGGAGAGACACCATTTGCCGGCCCGGCCATGGAGAACGCTCACACCAAGACGGTGGAGGAAGTTTTGGCTTATTTCGGCGTGAACGAGAGCACTGGGCTCAGCCTGGAGCAAGTCAAGAAGCTCAAGGAGAGATGGGGCGCCAACGGTAGGTGAAGCAGCCCCCGCGCCCGCCGCTGCCGGGGGGATGCTGCTGCGTGCTGGGATCCTCTCACTCCCTCTCCTCCTCCTTCGGGCCCTGTTTCAAGGCCTAACCGATGTGTGCAAAGCCGGCATCTGACTCAGGACCCGGAATAGGAGCGAGGGAGAGAGAAGATGGCTGACTTGAACTCCACCTCGTGGGTTTCTTTTATATCCTAAGCGCTCGGGGCTGCTTCAGCATGGAGGGTGCCACCTCCGTTTCCTTTCACCTTGGTGGGAAATAAGCTTCGACCATTAAATAAAGCGCGTGCTTTTTTTAATGTGCCCCTTTTATTATTTACTTGACCTTCATTTTCTTCGTTATTCCCAACCGTCCCACCCAAGCATCGTTCTTTTGACTTTTGAAAAAAGGTGGGTTTTTTGTTTAAAAAAAGAAATGTTCAGAAGACAGCGCCGCAGAGCTTTATTTTTATAGCTTTCTTTTGTGCCAATTGTTTTGCAGAACAGGCTGACAGAGAGAAATAATAGCAGGTGGGGAGACAGCAATTCCTAAATAGAAAAATGAGATTGTGAAGTATTTGGATATACATCTTATATTTTGGTAAAGTGGATGTGGAGGGAAATCCGTGTTCTGCTGAAGTCTGAAAAACGTTTGAAGCCTGTGATCCTTTGTATGCAGCAGTACCAGAAGTAACATAGCAGGCATGAGTGATGACTTGGCTGAATTGTAACCTTACTAGATTGCTGCTAAAATGTATTTGACATAAATTGCGGCATTAGCGAGGCCCATTCCAATTCTTCTTGTTAAAAGGAGGTACTTTAATTACATTACTCAGCATTGCCTTAAAATCTGAATTTCCTATATACATAAAATCGGGTAGAATTTAGTTTTGTAGCATCTTAGCTAGCTCAGAAATAATCTTTAATGATGGATGCTTTATAGTAGCTAATGTAGTTATCTAACAGTCTTTTCTCTTTGACATGCTCCTGGGGAAAACCTATGCTTCCCACAGAATTACCCGCTGAAGAAGGTAAGCAAGCTTGTACAATCTTCTAATGTTTCTTATCCATACTTTGCATCTTTCTGTGTATATTTAAGATGCAATATGTCTGCCTTTTATATCTTGCAGGAAAATCCTTACTTGAGCTTGTGCTTGAACAATTTGAAGACTTATTAGTTAGAATTTTGTTGTTGGCAGCTTGTATATCTTTTGTAAGTATAAAATGTTTGTTTTTTCAGACTTTTCACACATTGAACAAATGAGGCTACTGTATATATATATTGAAGGACAGGGTTATTCCTTAAGTTATTTTCTTGCTTATACTAGTTCTTTTTATGATGTGGAAAAATAAATTGCATGCTGAGTCTTAAATTGGTTATCTTGCTAAGCTTAACTTTCGCATGTTTTAGACATTGATTTTTCCATATTCACTTCATGTATGGTGTATACTATTCTCTTCTTTCTTGAATACAGTTAAACTAGACATACACAGACCTGTGAAAAGCATACATATAATCCATCATATTTTTTGTATACCTACTTGAAGTGGGATTTCCCAACCTTTCTTTTTGTTGTTGGCTTTTAAAACCAACCTTGATTACGCATTTAATGGGTCATTCTTTTTGCTTTTGAGTTAATCCTTATCAAGCTAAATGGATGATCATTGGAAGAGGTTTTTGGATACAATGCAAACTGTAAATAGAATTTGCATGGGGAATATTTCAGTTGCCTTCCCTCCCTGATAATAGCAAGGTGACAGTTGTTGCTTTTGACAGTGACAAGAATGATGACGACAATGATGGCACCATTGTTGACCAAATTTGGTAACTGACCTTTGGATAGTCTTTTTGTAAAGTGGACCCCTCATCTTGCATACAGGATTGAAAGGACAAGAAACACTAAATGACCCTGGTTTTTGTTTTGTTTTTAATGTATGCTTAATTGGATAGTTTCTTTATGCAGTGTGTATGGGGTATATGGTTGCTAAGAAACTGGAGAAATGAATTGAAGACTAAATACAGGAGGAAGGTGATGGGTCTGCATATGTTTTTGACAAGTTGGAGAACAGAATGATTGGTTTCTATTTATTTAAAAAAAAAAGTGCAGAACATTAGAGATTGTTAGTAAAGTCTACCAAATAGACTTTTACTTCCGCCTAAGGAATTGTAGCTTAACTCTGTGACCAGAAAAACAGGTGTTAGTCTTTTATAAGCTAAAAGAATAAAAACGTGGATTTTGTGCTGATTTCTAGTTTTCTGTCCTTCTGCCAAAGTTCAACGAATCATGAATATAGACTGAAGCAAATGATCAGTCTTAAACTAAGACTATTTAAAATAAAAAAAGAGGATGGTTATCCCCTGTTGTGCCTGATGCAGTATACTGCGTTGTTGATTCTGGGCCAGTGAAGGCTTCTGATATCACAAAACCGACACACCGTTTCAAAGAAGAGGGCCTCAGTTTTGGTATATGTGTATATAATTGCCAGCCGGCCAAGGACTGGCATTGAGCTTGCCTGTGGAGACAGACACATTCTAGTCACTTTGATATTTCCTTGGAGAAAACGTGGCTGGCAGTAGCAATTTTGAGAAATGGGTTAACATCTAGTTTTTTGGTGGGGGCTAGAGTTTTGTAAAGGGTCTGAAAGTTGCATCCCTCATGAGGGTAGAGGAGGAAAGAATGATCGTAATAAAGGGTAGTGGAATTTTATAGTGCACGAGTTACTACTTCTAGAAATTTATATCCCACTTCATTTCCAACCAAACGGGTGAAGGTAAAGATCAAATTCAGCAAATAAGAAATTGTCTAGTGAGCTGACTCCATATTCAACCCTGTGCTAAACTGACACAGGTCAAATAATGTACCTGGCCAAATGTACTTTGCTAGTATGTTTACTGAACTTATTAAACAATTAGACTAGCCTCCTTTTTCCAGTTTGCTGAAATTATTCTGCTAAATTAGGCAGTCAGTGTAATACAGGGTACAATACTGGATATCTGGGTTCTCTCCTCAGTTCTACCACTGACCTGCTCAGACCTTGGGCAAATCACTTCAGTTTTCTATGTCTCAAATTTCCTCAACCTTAAAAACGGAGATAATAGTTATCCTCCTTCTTGGAAAACATGTTAAGCCCCTGGCCTGAAAATCAATAGCTAAAATAGAAATGCAGCTAATAATTTTTATTGGAGTTATTTTATAAGTAGTTCACTCTTTTTTTTGTTTGCTTTTGGGTTTTGTATTGGGATCAAAGATAACTTGTAATTTCTTCTGTTTTTTCACTTGTGGTTTGACTTTGAGTTCTGGTAACTTTCACGCAACTGTGCTAAGCTCATACAAATTTAGAAATACATTTGTTTCTATAAAATATTCAAGGTGATCGACATAATTTAAACTCCGATATTCGTTCTGAAAGCACTCATTTTCAAGTGTGAAGCTTGTGGCCCATAACTGCCACCCAGGGAAATTTAAATGTTACGGGGAAAGATAAATTGTGTATACAGTTGAGGTAAAATGAACCTTTAGCATTGGATTGCTGCATCATGAGGATGATTTAACACAATTTATAATGTGTAATCATTGATAACTGGACGGGCTAAGTCTTGAAAAGTTAATGAGGCTTTGTAATACTACGACAACCACTCTACAATAATATGTGAAAATCACAGGTGTTTTTAGGTTACGAGGAGTGTACACAGAGCATATTAATTGATTTTTAGTTTTAAAATGAGGTGCATCAGGGTAGCTTTGGTCTTAAGTTAATGTGTAGGGCTTTGCTTTTTGGGATGTAATATAATTTTGTGTGTGTGGGGGGGGTGTTTTTAGCAATTTTTGAGCTATATTTATATATCTCCAAAAATTGGATTTGGGGTGGGCTTTCTCTTTGCATATACAGTACTGGGGTGAGTAATCTATTTGTGATTTTTCCATATTGCTCCTTAACGTAATACTGTATCAAAAACCACTACATTAAAATGCACTTGGGAACCTGTAATGCACACAAGGAGAGTCTACATGAACCAATTAATATGCAGCACATTCATGTGCTTTAGAAATCACACCTTTTGTAGTCTGCATTTCTGCTCCATGTAGGCCAGCCCTAAGATACAAGGAACCATTTCTGGTGTTTTTCCAACGTTTATTGGGTAAACACAAATTTGTTTCTTGTGTTGGGGATGCGTTAGGAATGTCTTTCAATTAAAACTGAAAATCAGAAGCTCTGGTTATGTATAGTTGAGTCTTTGGCAGCACTGTTGGGTTTCTTTTGAAGTTAATGGACTTCAGCAGGAGTAAGATCAGAACCAAATTGCACAAACTTGGATTGTGTGTTTTCAGTGACCCTAAAATATTTTCTGTAAACTTGTTGATCTGTGAGACTGTTACGACTGTAGTGCTTGGATAACATAAGGCCTTGTATAGCAGTAGCAATAAGTAAAGTTAAGGTTGCATAATATCTGCTGTTCTGATCCTTGTTTTCAGTTTGAAACTTTCACCTCAACTGAAATTTTATGGAACTGGTCTTTGTCCAAAAGTTAAATGTTCAGAAAGTTTTTGTAACAAAAATGCTTCTAATGCCTTTGAGTACATGTGTGAGGGAAGAGGAGAATATACTTTGCAAAGACTTTTGTTGTTGTTGTTTTTTTTAAATCTGAAGATTCTTGTTTGAATTGCATTAGTGCTGAATCACCTTAGAGATTGAGCGTTGGAATTGGGCATGGAAATAGTCCTGATTGTGAAGTGCGTTTGAGTGTTCTGGTGAAAATGGGTTTTGTGTTGAGAGTTGTCTTTGAAAATTACACCGTGCCTTCAAGGAGGCCTGGCAGGACATGTGTGCATAGCTAAATTATTTGTGCAGTAAAAACCTTAATGATGGCAAGTTTTAATTGCGGCAGAGCTCCAGAGAGGCCTTTGTTCATTCACTGCTCATCTTGTAAGGTTAAAAACTGCACAACTCCTAAAGTTACCTGGTGGACCTTGCAAGGTAGATGGGATAGTGGGTTCCTTACCATGAAATATTTTTCTTTGAAGAGTGTGCATTATATATTGCACATGAACGTGTGCGTGCACATGCCATTTTAAAACTCGTTATGTTAAGGTTGCATGTGTAAGCACTCACGTAAGGAATTGAGAAAGTTAAGCTTGCACATGACACCTTGCCTTTGCACCTTTATGCAGGTGCATTACATGCCTTTTCTTAAATATCATACAGTAACATTAGTGGTTCTCAAATTGTTTGTACATCAACTGGTGGTATGTGGGCTGCAGTCAGGCAGTACACAGGCTGCTGTATAGTATTGACATCATAACCCATTATATCTGTACTGATTTAAATTACTAAGATGGTATGACAAGTACTTATTGAGTTGTATATGTGGTATGCTAGATCTCAAAGTCAGAGAATTGCTGTTCTACAGCCTTAGATGCACATACTCTTGTAACATTTCATTCTTGTATTCGTAGACCATTTTCATTGTCCATATTCCTCCAGTATATCTCTAATGACTTAAAATACATGTCTTGGAGAGAAGAAAATTTAAGTTATACACCTGATCCTATAAAGGAAACTATAGGCATGGACCCTTCCCAGAATGTCTTATTGGAATCTGTAAGACTTCACAGGGATCCATGTAGGCAGCACCAGTGCCTTAGTTCTGTTGTGGTTGCAATTCAGAGGATGAGCCAGTTATTTTCTTGTGTATTTAATCTATAATATTTTGTATGAGACTGGTTTACTCTGTAATGTCATCTAAATGACTCTAATAGACTGACATACACAGATGAGTACGCAGTGCTTTTCAGAGTGCTAAACGTGTATCTAATATTGTAGAAACATGTTTGATAAATAGTAGATGATCACTTAGCGTATTATAATACATGTATACATACAAGAGAGCAGAGTTAATGTAATCCACACAACCCCAACTTTAGCACTTCCTGAGTTTTATACTTTGCCATGCAACCTTAATATTTTCCTAATGAATTGTGATAGTTTTTCGTACTGGACACAGTGTAGTCTAGGGAAAGTATTTATAACTGGTTGCCTAAATTAGAGGATCATGAAACAAGCTAGTAATAGCCCCTTTATACCAAATCAGACTTACAGGTGGGTGCTCTGGAAACTTGCTAGGTACAGGGTTAGATTAAAATTGTATATTGTTGTGAATGTAGCCCAATAAAGATGTTCCTTATACATACCAATCAGGCCCATGTATAGACT